CGATCGAACGAAATCGAATCGCGGATTCGATTCCAATTAATATTCCCTTTCCACGAATCGTTTCTCGACGCGTTCCAGATCAAAATATTCCCGGGAAGAAACGCCAAAGCTGATGATCTCTTCGCACCTCGCGAAGAATAAACTTACTTTATTCGCGTCGAAATAAACGAAAAAATCCACGCGGAGCGTAGAGGAAGCAGCTTTCAAACGGAATCGATGATTGGAACTCGTGTCTTCGCCTTCCTGCTCCACGAGTTATCGCGTTAAAGGCTCGCGAGATCGGCTGTTCGTGGCATATCGTGAATTGAATATCGAGAAATTCGATCGCCAGTCAATTATCGTTCCGAGCGTGCAGAGCGTGGTAAAGTTCGATCGAGCAGCGTGGAGATTGAGGCGCGGAGAAGGAGAGGGGACTGATTAACCACCACCCCCTATGTGTATTTTCAAACGCGGTTAAAAATAGTTTTCACGCGTATTTCGAAACGAAATAAATACGCGAGTATACTCGCGTGAAACGGAGTAAAACGGAAAGCAAGTATGAACGGTTGGAAAATCAAGGCTGTTGGAGAAGGTCGTGGAACCATAAAATCGTATCGTACGTTTTATTACATTTTATAATTCGAGGTGCAATTTTAAAATATCGTTCGTCGAAATTCTATATTCCTAAAATGTACTACGTAAATTTTAATTCGTCTAGATTTAATTCTGAAACGTTGGAGGAGGATTGGATTCAAGGTTGATTGATAATATTTCTTCGATCCCCGGTTCTTTAATTTCTTCTTATTTTTCGCCAGTTTCGAGTTACGTAAGATCGATCGTGAAACTTGCCGTTCGTCGATCCAAACACATTGGGAAAGAATTTTAAGTGATCCGTCTTACGAAAATATTTACTCGGAAACCACGAGGCTTAATTAGGCCCGAGATGTACTAGAGCGTGCTTTTGTTTGCATAGGCGACTAAGCCGTGCAAAGGCTCGTGCATTTCGTTAAAAATTAACGAGAGGAGGGCGCGTTTCTGGTACACACAACCAGAGAAAATACAAGGGATGGTACTTTGTTCTTTCATTATTTTTAGTCGCTCCTTGTTTCCTACCCTCCCCCACTGTTTCTTCCCCCTCTGTTTCGAAACGAGAAAGAGTACACGCGAAACAACTGTAATAATTAGAAAGTAGAGAACTCGAAAGTATTAACAGCCAATCATATTTCCGAGGCGAGGTTAAAAATGCCAATAATTAGCCATTTAAATTTGAATAGAAATCAATGCAATTTGAACGCGTAATTCATAAATGAAATTGCCCGCGAAATTTTTTTCCCCCTAATGAAGAAACAAACAGTATTCGTAATCATGCGAATATTATTGGCGTCGAACAATTATATAGGAATCGATGAATCTATCCATTAACCATTATCATAGGTGGACGCCTTCTCCTTCTCATCGTGATAAAAAAACCTGGAGCTTCGTGGAGAACCGCGGAGAATTTTAAATATCCATCCTGGCAACAGCCCAAACTTTCTGCACGAATTTATCGCGCAGCGGCACACGTATTCCCGTTATTATGTACACGTATGCCGCTCTCTCGCGAACGACAGAGGAGAAGAAAAGAAGAGAAAAGAAAGAAAAAATACACACATATATATATATATAAAAAGAAACACGGAAACGCGTGCCATTGATTGGTCGTCGTACAGCCCTCGTTACACCTCGTTCGAGGCATCGTTGTTACAATTCAACGAGACAAAGATCGCGAGATGATCTTTAGATAGAAAACGCCACGTTTAAAACCCACGTGACACGTCCCTCTCTGTCTCTCCTACGATTTTCGGCAAAAACGTGGAGCGAAAAGTAGGTCAGAGAGGTTTTTCGAGGTCTCGATCTAGGCGGCCCTGATACGTCGCCCGTTCGATGAATCACCGGTCCCAATGGAATTTAAGAATTTATCGCGCGTACGCGCTCTCCCTTCTTCGTCGCGCGATAATCCGTCGCGTTTTCGGCGACCGCGAGGGAGAGAGAGGGAAATTTGGCCTCTCCTCGACGAGAGGAGACAGATATCCTAGGGACTGGTTGCCGGTTCTGGCGCCAGACTTCTAGAAACGCAGGAGCCAGAGAAATTTTTAGCGAAATTCGATTTCGTTTATCGCGCGTTTCTCCAAGGAAAACCTTGGAGATTTTTCATTCCGTTCGATCTATGATTAATTTCGAAATCAGGTGATGAATGACACAATGAATGGCGAACCGTCCTCGACTTCGTTATCCAATTCACGTTTGAAATTTACGATACTTGTGCAATTTGTGAAATATATATGTACAGCTTTCAAAATAATAATCATTGTACGTAAAACCGAAATAAGAGGCTTGTTAAGATCGGTATTGGGGGTAGAAAATTAAGGGGAAATTTATAAGCAGCGATATACGAGTGTATATATATATATATATATATATATATATATATCTGTTTTCCGGCCTGGACTACAATTTAAATCACGGACCTAATTGTCGACTTTTAATAGTTTCATACACGAAAACGAAAACTCGTGCCAGGTTCCTGGTGTCACATTACGCGACCGAGTCGCGTATACGCGTGTGTACGGGATCCAGGGTGTTCTTAACGAATAACTGACCTTGACACGAATAACCATCCGTGGCCATGATCGATAACAATTCTTAATCGAAACTTTTCGCCGAATTAAAAATGTGTCCCACTCCCTCTAACCGCAAAATGTCATTTGCTAAACTTTAACTTTTCGTGAATCGCCATGAAATTTCGAATATTACGAACGTTGCCTGTCCAATTTGGGGTTGTAGTGAAAAATTCTCAGTCACGAAGATCGAAATATTAACGAAAATAAAATTGTTATCCCGATTAATTAATCGTAATTTAGAATTTTTAACAAAAGTTTAATTCTTTCTTGAAAGAGGGTTTTTTCCCATCAAAAATTTGGACGTGACGAAATATCCTCCCACCTCGAAAAATGTTAGTTCTCCAAGATTCGAGATATTGTATATATGTATTTCTAAAACGATCGATAAAATACAAGACTCTTAATAAAAGAAATCTCGATTATTATTTCTTATTAACGAAATTATCGTCATTATGGACGTTTCATCGATCACGCAGCCTCAATCGTTAAGAATTATTTAGCATTTTTAGGAATTGAACATCTGTCGGTGTTTGCCTATGAAATAGATTGTCTCTCTCTCTCTTTCTCTCTCTTTCGCGGACGTCGTATTCGATTAGGATGAAAAGAAGACAGGTGAAAAGTATCGAAAGGATGGTTCGTTGACGGATAAGGTGTGGAGATAGGTGGAGAAGGAGAGAAAAAAAAAATGAGTGGACGCAGTTGGGTGTTATAGGACATACGTGCTATAGGGAGGACGTCAGATTAGAAGCCAAGGCTTGACGAGCAGCAATGCCACCGGGACAAAAACCCTCCCTGAAGCTCTGGCATACATATTTTTTATTATATAAATTGGCGTTACAAAGGTTTCCCAAGAATTTATCGCGTTAATGCCTATTATCGTCCGCCCTTCCATACGACAGCCGCAGCTTTTGTTAACGAGCGATGATACGCGACCTCATCGACTTACCTCTGCACCGAATTCTTATCCAGGTGGAGAAGGATAAACTGAATCTGCTCGGGGGAAAGAATAATAGAGGGAAAGAGAGGGATATAAGAAAGAGGGAGAGAAAGAAATTTTGTTGAAAAAAAGTTTCTCGAAGAAGAATGGAATTGGATATATAATTTTTGAGTTGTTTCACACGTTATGTGGAAACGAAAAGGAAATATTTTGACGAAAGCTGCGCCAATCGACGCCAGATCCTTTCCGCAAAGAATGATATAAACTCTTTCGAGCACTTGATCCGCAGCTCAGCTATGAAAAATCCCCGCGTATCGGTGAAGGGAATCGTGTCAAAGATACTCGCATAATTCAATGCTATTTTCTACTAAAATATTCTACTAAAAAAAAATATAAAAGCACGTTCTATTTCCAATTAAATTTTAAACAACTTATTATCATAGACAAATGTTATTTAAAATAAATAAAATAAATAAATAAATTATTATTTTTGGATCAGAAGGAAAATTAATATCGACGAGAGGAAACACCGACTTTGATCGTGCGTTTTTAACCACGATCAATCTGAAATCCGGAACCCTGTCGCTTTCTTCCGGATTTAGTTTTCCTTGCAAGGATTTTAGGCATGCCTCGAGTGATATTGCCAGTGGCATGCATTGTCCTATTGTGAAAACAGAACTACCCCTTTTCTTCCATTTAACCGAGCCCACCCCCCACCCCCGCACACCAACCTCTCCGCCTCCGGGTTCCTCGCATCCGAGATGTTTTAAATAATATTGAAAATGGAGTTCTGGCTCGATGCCTACTCGTTCCATATCCCAGGTGGTTTCGCGATTCTAAAAACTTCGATTATATCGAGCCGGCCGGAACGACAACCCTCGAGCTGTTAACTTTATTTTAATCTTTCGCGAGAGAGGAAACCGTGATTCTTGAGAAACTTTCATTAAACTTTATACACGGACACGGCCAATATTACTATAGATGAGATCCTACTATACAGCCTACTTCCGCTGCTAGAACGCTCGAACGAAATTGATTTTACTTTTTCATACCTACGTTCGTTATTCCATACTTCGTTTTCGATCCGATCGCGATACCAGACGATACTGAAAACGGGCGAATCCTTGAAATTGGTTATCTAATTTTAATGAAAATTATCCGTTGCACGATATACAAACGACGAATGGCTAATTTATTCCTGGCTTATGATTTCGTCCCGTTAAAATTTCTGACGCGAGATTAAATTCTTCTAACTTCGAAGAGGAGGAAAAAGGAAAGAATAGAATCGGTGTTTGTTCCTTTGGAATATAAAAAAGAGGGAAAATTTGATCTCTTCGATCCGTTGAATATTTTTTTTTTTTTTCTTTTTTTTTTCTTTTCTTCGATCGATCTCAGCGTATAATGTGGAACCCGCGGGCACTCACCGTGCGTATCGAATTTCCTGATGATGGTTTCGATGATCGTTGTCCTGGGCGCCACGTGACCTCGTCTAACAGGCATCGCAGGAATATTCCCAGGTAGCTGGGCCTATGAGACGTTTGGCGTTCGATCGAAGGCTCGTTAAGCCTTGCTTTTAATAATTAACGTGTGACACTACAGCACTGAAAAAACACTCGCAGCATGCGTACAAGCACGGTAGAAAAAAGCACAGCACGAGTTGAGCATAATGATCATCGAGGGAAAAGAAGAAGCACCGGCTAATATCGGCGATGTTCGTCAACAATTTGTTCCTAAAAATCTGTTCTTCCCTTTTCTCTTTCCTTTTTTTTTTTTCTTTTAATCTTCTTCTTTAGAAGAAAAACTTCTTCAGAAGAAAAGAAGAAAAAGATAATCGGAGAAGATTCGTTGCTGGTCGGACGATCGAAATCCAGATGATTCTTTCCTTTCTCTCTCTGTCTCTCTCTCTCTCTCTCTCTCTCTCTCTTTCTCTCTGTTTCTTCCGTAGATCTAGACTTCTTACGTAGATACAAAAGGCGAAGGAAATAGTAAACGAGGAAAAGTAACCACCAAGAAAGTTGCCACTTAACGCGATGATGCGTGTATGCCTTTGCCTTTTGCCTCGAGGAACACCCTCGAGAAGTCCCAATTTACTTGGCTAATCTTTCGCGAGAGGATCGTTGTTTCTTGGTGTTTTCGTTTTGTACAAAATTCGCATATATATATATATATATACATATATACATATATATATATATAAGAAGCTGCGTGGACAGAGTCGATACGTTTTTCTCCCTACGAGAAGGCTGGATGTCTTCGTTTGACTTCCTTTTGGACCCAATACTCGTCTACCTAAATGTGTCTAAGGATAAGAACAAGCTGTAGCCAAGTGACCGTTACGGTTCATCCTCTCCTCTTGATCTCGAAGGGCAGATAGAGAGAGAGAGAAGGGCTGAACGTCGTCTTCGACGTGACACGAGTCGTGCCCGATCTCGTGTTATATCCTCTCCTCCGCTCCTCCAATGTTTTCCTGGCTCAAGACGTACGATCTAACGCGAGAAAACATCTATTTATAGTCGAAATACCAATGCGCAACGCGAACGGTGTTCCCACGGAATTCCAGAACGTAGGGTAGGGTAACAGGAATCTGGGAAACGTCTTGTTGTCGTTAATGATATAAGACGGTTTTCTTCGTTTTGTGCGCGAGGATTTGCCCGCTTTTCCCCTCCCCCACCTTGTTTCACGCTCTTCTCCTTCGTGTCACGACCCTCTTTCCTACCCTCTATACGTATTTTCTAATATATTCTTTCTTAAGACTGGCAAAGGACGACGTATACCTCGCGAATACCTCGACACTGCTCGGATATCCTCGAAGAAAATGGAAAACTGCGTGAGCAACGTTGCGCCAACGTGCGATACCACCCTCTCGGCGATTGTCACTCCGTGGAGAATTCGGAGAAGCTTGGACCTCGTCGGCTCGAAGTCAAACTTCTCTACATCCGGAGGTACAATGAACGGTAGACGTCTCGGAGAAGCGCATTGTGCGGACATTTCCACGAGGTGAGGTGTGTTGTCGTTGCCGAGAGAACGAGGCCGTCGTTTCTTTCTCCGGGTGCGCTGTGCGTCTCGTCGATTCGGCCGTGTCGTTCAACGATGGAACACTATTGGCGAATGCACGGATATCACGAACGCTGACACCACCTGTTTCGAGGCCGCGATTGAAACGTAGCGGAGCGAGGAAGGAAGAGTTGCGGCGGTTATCATGGCGGTGTAGGGGGGAGGGGGAGAAAAGCGAAACGAGCCGAGGAGAAATCTTGGAGGAGGTTGAAACGAACCGCGTCTGGATGACGACGAGAAAGGCACGTGGTGGATTTGTAGTTGCGTTTATAGTTACGAAATGCCGAAGCGCGCGCGGGTTTGCCACTTGATTCACGATATACGATCGTTATACGTAACGACGCGTTGACACGTATACTCCTTCGTATCGAATGCCCCGTTCCCTGGTCGTAAGGCGGTCGCTCATCTCACCTGGAATTCGGCCGATTTTTTATACCTCTTCTTCATCCTCCGCAAAAATAACGCGCTGGCCACACGATCGATCGTCGATATTTCTCGAAATATTCATCGACTCCTGTAACCTGTTGGCGACGGCCACCGACACTGCGAACCACGGGAAACACTGACTCCTTTCTAACGACCTTCCTTTTGCCTCGTCACGAGGACAACGCTTGCGTATCTCATTTCTCGCACAAAACAAAGAAATAAACGTAACAAACAAATCTTTCGTTCGCGTATCCTTTTGCCACGCTCCTCGTCCGAGCAACAAACTACATCCTTCTGCGGAGCCACCACGCCTTCCAGGTCCAAAATCGAAACTCCTGCGTCACTCTGTGTTCCAACGTATATCCCGATATTTACTAATAGAACGTACTTCCATCGACGAGAATTCCTGGGAACGTGATACCGGCACCGTATCCACGGGTTTGTATTGCTAAACACTGTTGCTTTCCCGCGTGCTTCCCACCTTTGGTTTTAAGTGCGTCTACCGGCGAAGAGGCATCTCGAGGCCGCGTGCCGAGCAAAATACCGGAAGGGAGACGAATATATATATACATATATATGTATATATATGTATATATATATATGTATATATATTTATATATCCTTCCTTCGAAGAAAAATTTTTCCGTTTGTCTCGTTAGTCGCCGTCGTACGGTCGGAACTGAAAAACACGAGGAGGCACGACGACGGGCCGACGTCTCTCTCGGCGACGGCGACGACGACGACGACGAAGACGACGCCGGCGACGATGGGTACGTTAGGGGGATCGTGTACGGCGCCTGCGTCGTCGACGAGCCGTCCCCACCAACGTCACTCACCACCCGATTACACCGCCCTATCGTATCCCCTCGCCACCCAGTGATAATATTGATAAGGTTCTGCGTCTCTTTCGTTCACCGTGTCACCCTTGTTCCGCCTGGAATCCGATCGGACATACGGCCGAAGAAAGGGGATCCTCGTTGATAATGTGAATTCCTCGGAATGAGGAAAGGTGGGGAGAAATTGTTGCTTTGATTATCGCGCTAATTAATTTGCACTTGATCAAATAATAACGCTTGATCGATTACGGTGGCTAGGATTTTCGGATATTTTGATATTCGATGTAATAATATTAGACGGGTATTGATGTAAAATAGTTTCGATATAATGATAATATCGCGTGAAAATTAAATACGTCTATTCGATAAGTAAATATGTACGTTTTGTTTTATAGGAAAAAAAGGAAAAGAAAAATGATACGGGATTACAAAACAATAATAATATTTTTGTATTTCGTAATGTATTTAGTTATATCTCTATGAGAGAAATGTAGAAATATTGAGAATAATTTAATTTCTACGATTAATCTACGTGTAATCACCTTTATTTTAAAAATTTGTAAACAAATGTTTATCAAGGCTATTTTTATTGTATATTTTACTTTGTTGCACCTTGACGATATATATAACTATAGACATTATCTTTTTCTGTTTAATTAACAGTGAGCTTTGTTATAACTCATATCATGAACACGAGGTTAATTATAAATCGTTACTAACTATCGTATTCTGACAAAATAGATATACAGAAATAAATTAGATATCTCAGAAAGAAACATTAGCTTTTTTATTCGTAGTCATAATTTTGCAAACTATCTAGATAATTTGTGCATGATAGAATATTGAAATAATAAGTTTTCGAGCAAAGATCTTTATTAATGCATATATTTTTGTCGACAATGATCTCATTTAATATAGTTTAATTTTTTTTCTATGTTGACGAAACGATTATGTCAAAAATGAAAATCAACTTTCGTTGTTTATTTAACATCGTTCAAGAAAATTCGATAAATATCGATATCATCTATCAATAATATTGTTTCAAAGACTACCATTTTGACATCTTTTGTTCAAAGGTAAAATTATAAAGGTAAAAAAGTCAATGTTAACTTATAAAGGCAACTGTTGATATTGTCATTGCACTGTTTTATCGACACAGAATTGTCTTGATCAATTGTAGATATTCGAGATACATTAATACAGATTTCAAATTTAATTCAAGATTAAAATCGAAATATTCCATGTTCCATAAACTATATGTATTTAATTTTTTAAATAATAAATGTAAATTATAATAAATCGCATATTAAGACATATATATTATGGATAAATGGAATATATGTATATATATATATTCAAATTTCACCTTTGAAATATAAATTCAAATTCAAATACTCGTTTGATCATTAATTTAAATTAATATTTCAATTGGGGGAAAAGAATTTTTATGCGAAGAACGAAAATTTTATACGATGCCGTGACTTACCAATGGAATAACTTCATCCAACGATTTTTCAATCAGTTTCTCGTATCAATCACCATCTTCATCAAAAAAACACGCACACTATAAAGTAGTAGCTTTTCATAATCACTAATTATCAAAAAGAAACGATTTACACTTTCTAAACTTGAATTTTCTACGATTGACGTAACTTCGTATCGATGGCACCGAACTGTGTTCCCTGTCACTGTTGCGTTCGAAAATGGCGGCGCACGAAATAAGCCGAAGGGGTCGCCACTGATGTTCGGGCATCTTCGTGAGCCGGCGACTTCGGGAAATACGGGGTCTACCAAACTCGAAGCACGGAGCCCCGCCCTGCCGCCCGCCAGAGCCGTGAAGCAGCAGTAGCAGCAACAGCAGCTCCGCTTGCTTCGTACAGTTTTTATTCATGAAAACATTCGTCTGATCGTCGTATTATTCGACTAGTAATAACTGCTCGCGGTATACGTTGTGCTCGTCTTTGTCGGTACAGTTCACGCAGTGACGGTTAACCTTAAAAAGTAGTGGCTGTCGCGGTGTTGTCGCGAGAGATAGTCTCGTAGTGAAACAGACTTGTTTCGATCATTAAGGCATCGTCGCCGAGTGCATTCGCTCTGTTTCTCGACGTTGTTCGAGACGGAGAGGTGTGAAAAGGAAAGTGCATAGTCATCGATGTGAGAAGTCGAGGCTAGGAAGAAGGCCCGCCGCAGCAGGAGGGAGAGAGTGAGGAGCTGTTCGTGGATACGAAAAGCTGATATATCGAGTCGGGAATTTAAGCAACCGTAGGCTCCGTTAGGGAGCTCCAGGTACGATAACAAATTATTTCTTCGCAATAACTCGTAATTTTCCATTTCGAATAAGCGTGAAAACCATTATGACGATTGGCCCTGGCTGGCCCTTCGACTTGATCGGAATAGCCAACATGGCGACCGCCTAGGCTACGCTGTCAAATTTTCCTGTTCCGTCATCGTGGTTATTTTAACATCGGTTACGTTTCTCTCGTATAGTTGGGCGTCTAATATTTCGAATGCAGAAATAACTTTAATAACTTTCTTTAATCATGAAAAATGTTGTTAATTTAGATTTCTCGACTTGTCGACGTGAGTCAGTACCGGCTCCCGCGATAATGAGATTCTTCCTGCTTAAACCGAACTTTCCTCGTTCAAGAATTTTTCATAGTATAGAAGAAATAAGAGCGAAAGCTCGTTTGATAAGCAACACCAGATTACGCAAGATAAATTATTAGAATTTTTGCTTAGCTAACGATATCTGAGATTACTACAAATTTACATAGGAGATCAATACTCATTAATTTACATGGTACAAGCGTCAGTATTTCATTATCTGTTAATACACGTCTTGTTTTTATTATGAAAATATTTTATGTTTTATGTATAAAATTATCACAATCTTATTTCTTTTTCTCTTTTTACATTTAATCTTTATTTAATTTATGTATTGTACTGTATTTAATTTACGTAATTATTTATCTTTACAAATTTTTATCAATAATTCAATTTGTTATTAAAAATAAAATTAATCATTACTTACTCCCATTTCAATATAAAAAATATTATTAAGATGGCGCGAAACTTAATCATTGAGATATGCTATTGTTGATACTTTGACTACGAAACAATCTATATGAATTATCTTATGATGTAAAAATCGTAATAAAATGAATGTTGTGTAATGTTAAATATAAAGTTTACATGAAAATAAACTAATTTTCTTCGATATTAGAAACACGAATTTATTTTTCGCAAAAATGTGAATCCGCGAGGTAAAAATACCACGAATATATCTTTATACATCGACTACACGTGTTCTCCAAAAATATAAAACACTTTCATCATCCAGTATATTTTCTAATTATTGCTCGAGGCTGAAAATTAGCATCCAGTTGAATTCTCAAATAATAATCGTAGAGTTAACTTCTAACGTTATAATATTTATGTTATAATTTATATACATATATGTAAACAAGGTATAACAAGAGTTAATGAAATTATAGGCACCTGTTTTTAATTCAAGCATCGCCTTGAAGCTTGTGTCGCGTTTCTAAGAATCGTGAAAGCGATATTTACGTTACCAGTCGTTTTCAAGGTGATCGATCTTAAAAGCGACTCGAACGACCAGAATCGCACGCAATATATCTTCGTTATCGTCGCGTTGCTCTTTTTCCTTCTTTTTTTTTTTATTTTTCTTTTTTATTTTCTTTTTTTACCGTACTTTTCAGAGGTTACGTTATTTACATCGAGCAATGAGTCACATGGGAGAAACGAACGACAAAGGAAATGCAATCGGGTGGACGCGAAGACCTTGAATTATTGTCCAATAATTTTGCACTATCGTTTACTATAACATGCTCCGTTTGGAAAGAGAGCGATATCAGGTCAGGAATTTTCTTTTCAAACTTGTGAATTCCTTTCGATGTTATTCTAATTGTTTTTGTTTCTCAAACGAGGTGATAATTCTTTCATAGAGTGGTATCAGTTTATCAAATTAACATTATCTCGTTGCAACTGTTTGGACACGGTCTCTTTGATAAAGAAGGAACACTAATTGCCTGGATAATTTCTCGGAAGAAAAGAGAGAGTAGCTGTACAGGGAAACGGTTGATATTCTCTGCAAACTTTTGATTAAACGGTGTTGACTCATATACTAACGAACTAAGAAAAAGGAAAAAAGAAAAAAAAGGGACGTAAGCCACAGTACAGCAAAGACTGCGCCGCGATTGGCCGACCAATTGCTGCAGCAGCTATCTTAATCGTCTTTAATTGGTTCGAAATATAAAGTCGTCGCAGTCTCGAAGACAAGTGGTGTCTTTGGCTCAATTGACAGTGTTTCACTTGTGAAATACGACGTCGATAATATCTGTTATCGATCTTTTACACTTTCGATCGAGAAAAAGTTGATTATATTCGACTACAAATGATTCGCTTACCCGATAGATAAAAAATCGCGAGAATGCTATGTAAATATTTATGATTGATGTCTATGCATCATGGTATCTATATATCACGATCATTTGCTTCGAATAAAACTCCATCTGGAGAATATTACGAGTTTAATTGCTGTA